CCATTCAAGCGTGCAAGTTAATGTGAAAGAGACAAAGTTAAAAACTAATCCGAATAAGTAATTATCAACCCGAATACAGCTTTTACGATGACCACAACTGTCGAAGTAAGCAATTATAATCGGACAATGAGTCTGACATTCAAGAGTATAGAGTTTTAAAGAGACATACTGCTTGTGTGTTGAGTTATAGGTCTATGCGGGTCTACAGTAAAACACACTGTAAAACATGTGAAATGAAAAATTTTTGTTTGGAGAAGTAGAAGAAATGTTCAAATCATGTTTAGCCATTACATATGATGAGATTATTAAATTTGCCATTTCATGTTTTAGAATTCGATTATCTTAAATAGATAATATGATATATGATTAAATAAACGCTTTCTTCCTGTAACTCCTAATTCTACCACCAGAGGGAGGAATTACATTTATTTTATATTTTTTCTAAAGCGAAATTACCGATTACTCGGGCGTAAATCTGCTCCAAGTGTAAAGTCATAGTGGGACAATGAAAACTTACTACTGCAAGACTAAGTCCACTATTTCCACTCGGAAAAATGGGAATGAACGCAAATTCAACTCGTTAAAAAGCAAAGAGAATCCAGGTACATCCAGGTATTTCAGAACATGTTTGTGTCGGTGTCACCAGTTCTATTATCATTTGATAATTATTAGTGATAATTCACTAGTCACTTTACCTGCTGCAACTTTTAGTGATATTTATTCTAGTCAAATTCTCTGCTGATAAAGATTGACATCTGTAAAAATGAAACCTCATGCCTGCTGGTATAACCGAGACTGCATGAAAGCTGCATGAGACACAGAGGTTCTTATCAACGCGGATGGATTTAACAACAACTCCTGGTTTGTTTGTTTTTTGTTGAGGAACAATATTAAAAGTTTAAAAACTTATATTTTCTTATGTGTTTCAATGGTATTCTGGAAATCATCTCTCAACCTGCCAGTGCCCTGCAGACCCCACTTTGGGAACCAGTGCACCAGTGTACCATACCTCCTCTCTCAGCAGGATGTGTGCGCTCATTGACTTGTGAATAATTAACGTTTGTCTTTGTTCAAAGTAGGTTTTGTAATTATGCTTTGTTCCCTTTGAAAATTAGAATAATAATTGATGATGTTTTCATTTTGGAAAACACGTATCTCATGGAACTGTTTTAACTTTACCATTTTATTTCAAAGTTACAAAGTATCATTCACATGTCCTTAGAACTTGAACTCAGATAAGTGGTATCAGCACTGGACCTGGTCTTAAAGGCTTCACACAGATCCCACTGTACACATAAGACATCATGATATTGTTATTACATTATACAATTGATGACAGTAGCCTACTCCGACCTCTCTACAGCTCAAAAAAGAAACAAAAGAAAAAAGAAAAAAATCAACAGATTCAAAACAACATTGAGAAGATCACTGTCTCAAATAAAACACATTCACTATAATTAGTGAACTATTGTAATTTAGTAGAGACGCACATAGAGTGTAGATTTCCGCTAAGAAGTGCATCCTTAATTTTAATCATACAAATGAAAAATGATATAATTCGCTCCTTGTCCCATTTATCAGCTGTATAAAGCATCCACCCACACCATTTTGTATTATTGTTGCAAACAAATACGAACAAACAAACTAACCCACATGCACAGACGGAGTAAAGACATTACAATGTTGTTATTGTCAGCAGTGTAAAGTGAAAGTAACCCTACAGGCCTATGTAAAGGGACCCAAGTGATCCCATACATTGCATACTGTACGCGGAAAAATACTGAAGAGCAAGATGTATTTTTGTCCATAACCTTTATATTCACATACTTATTATCGAAAAACATAGAGTCTTCATTTGAGGGACATTAGCGCTGATTGACTCCAGCAGACTTTATTGTATGAGGTTTCACTATAATTTGTAAAAGTTGTTCCAAACCCCGCCCCCTGTCCTCCCTCGCGGCTCAGTGTGCAGCGCAGGAGCGGAGTGCACGGGGCACGGGGATGGCTTCCCTTTACCGACTCCACTGAACTTCTCCAAAGGTACGGATCACACTCTGTTTACAAACTTTGAGGCTGTCTTTGTAGTGCGTGCGGCAACTTTGAAGCATGGCAGTGTAAAGTCCAGCAGCACCAGCGGGACTCTGGAGCTGCGCGCATAGACCTGTGCGTCCTGTGCGTCCAGTGCGTCCCGGCGGATTACCGGTGTGCATTTCCACCACAGTAAAGTGCCTGTTGTAAGTGATATCCACTTACAACAGAAACCATAAGAGCAATCAGCCTCAGAGAAGGAAAGGTGCTTCAGATGAACGTGGTTCAAGGCGAAACAGACTTCTCTCTGCTGGAGCAAGGTTTCTTGAACTCAGCATGTTGTTTGTTTGTTCGTTGTTATTACTATCCCATATTGAAATGGCAGCTTCGATCACACTTATTCAAACCTGCATCATAGTTGCCATATTACGCAAACCTTTTGATAGTTTCCATTATGTGGAAAATTTAGGAAATAATTTGATTTCCTGGTTGGATAAGAGCAGAGACATCCTGTGACAAGGGGCAAAGTTTGTTGGCAGTGCCTCCAAAGGTGAGCTCCTCCAAAGGCTGTCCACACAACAAGCCACTGAGATGTACAATTTGGAATTGCAAAGTAAAATACAAAAATGTTTTTGTTTTGTTTAATCATGTATGTTGTTTTCATCATGTGTTTCATTTCAAAAAGAAAACCATATGAATGTGAACAGTGTGTGCAGTTATATTATAGGGACAAGCTTAGTCTTTTTTTCAGTTCATTCTTATGTGTTCACCAACTTGTTTTGTGAAACCTTTGCTAATTTAACTATGTTATACCTCTCGTTGCCTGATGTAATTCAGCAATCTATCAGTGGTAACTGTAAAAAAAGAAAACAAAAGATTCCTCCCCTTTAAATAAGGGCCAAGATTATTCATTGAGCTAACCAAATGGATTGATTATGAAAAGGCTTTGATCTCCTTGCCTTGAATTTGAATTTAAAATTTTGAATTGTGTCCAAAAAATTTTCAAAAGTCTATTTATTTCAGTAATTCATCTTACAATGTGAACTTGTCAAAATTATAACAAACAAAGGCTGGGTATTTGTCACTTTGCAAGTAATGAGTCTATCCTACATTGGTGAAAGTTTCAAATAAGGCCACACATCCCTTTGGTCTGAACTAGCGTGCTGGATTCAAAAAGTGCAAAAAGGGAAAATAGTGAAAAATCCGCACAGTTTAGTTGGTCTGTAAATAAAAGACACTGATTGGGAGCGACTATAAGCGGTGCGGATTTTTCACTATTTTCCCAATTATCACATTTTAAGAGGAACTACAGCGAGAAATAAACTTTTGAACAAAATGCTAATCTTTCCAAGTTTCACCTGAGCCCGGTCAGAGCTGTGTGGTCCCATGAAAAAATAACTGATGTAAAAAAAAGAATCAACTTAATTGAAGTGTCATTAAGATGAGCGAACCCGCTAGCTCAATGAAGCCAAATAGGGAAGTGCTCATGGCGAAGTTGGGCTCCAACTCACTCTTGCCCCTATTGACTTACATTTACAATTGTAGGCTAAAAACAATGGTGTTTTAGTGCATTCTGTGATCTATCGTCAATCCTATATGGCTCATATATCTGGATTTACAAACTGTGTCTGCCCTTGCTACGGTGCAAAGCTCATTTATTTTCAAACGGGTTCTTCTGCACTCAGCTAGTCCACTCCTAATACTCGGTTTATGGCCTGGGCAGACGTGGCTGAAGGATGTTCTGACAGAAAAGAAGCTTGTTCAGATTATTTGAATGATTTATATTCAGCAAGCAGGAGTGACGACGAGGGACAGGTCGGGTCAGTCTGCTGTTGCAGCAAGACCAGATACAGGCCGAGACTTGTCCATGCCATGACACATGAAATGACAAAGTAAATATTCTCAAGATTGTTATTAAAGCATCTAGAACGGTTGAACAGAATTTATGTCAATTCTAGTTGAATGCTTGCCATACAAGTGTGATATTTCACAGAAAACATGTGTGTGTCTGTGTGTATCTCTTACTGTGAGTGTATTTGGACACTCTACTAAAAACCTAAACAGAACTTTGACTATTTTGGCAATAAACAGTGACGTGACAGGTGACAACAACAGAGGGACGATCGCACTGTTCTCGGCCTCACTGCTCCTGATCTGATTCTGAATTCAATACGGCTGGAACAGTTCATCCATTTATCAAATCACAATCATTTTATGGAAATTACATATCAACTTGAACATACTGTGAAGATGCATTAAGTATTTTGAATAAAAAAACTCAACAAGTCCATCTCTATGAAGTCGTTCTCCAGGGGCAAATCTAGTAAGATAAACCAAACTAAACCAAAGAATAACTGGCCAGTTGATCGATTATTAAAATAATTGCTGATTACGGCGCTGAGATGCAAGAACTCCCAAATCAAAGCTGAATTTTTGCATTTAGGAAGTGCACATTTTAAGATGTTGTACGTCATTGTAAAGCTAATCCGTCAGTCATTTTGTTCTGACATTCGATTACAAGCCTTCTTTATCTTTGGTTCAATCCAATAGCTTCATAATGAATATATAAAATATGAAATAAAATGTTACACAAACAAACACATGTATAAATGTGAGTAACAACAATGAAATCATATGAAATTAATGATTAAGAAAAATAGAACAAAATATATTTTGATAAAAGAATCGTTTAAGTGCTGCAGTCCATACTTCAATATTTTTTACTTTTTATTTGTACATGGTTGAAGAAAGGGGCAGGCAACATAAGATTTTTTTGAATGCATTTGTAATATGCGGTGTATTGTCATATGTATCCACATTTATTATGACAGGATGTCAAATTGGAGCGGGAAGAAGAAAATACAATATAGACTTTCATACAATGTTCAAAATGTTCTTTTTTACAGATGAAAGAATCATGATAGTTTTAGTCATAGCCGGCTGGGTTCAAACCTTTCAAACGACTGTGGGTGATGTTCATGGCCAGAAAAATGTATGTTCATCCCACGTGACCTGCAGTGTACTTCCTAATATTACGCTGCTGTTTTGTTGTTGATCAGATTTGGTCCTGATGGAGTGAGCTCTGTGGCAAACATGGAGAGAGAGGGCTCCTTCAGAAGGTGAGCAGCACGTCTGTCCTCTGTCTGTCCTCTCTTTGTCCTCTGTCTGTCCTCTGTCTGTCCTCTCTGTCCTCTGTCTGTCCTCTGTCTGTCCTCTCTTTGTCCTCTCTCTGTCCTCTGTCTGTCCTCTCTGTCCTCTGTCAGTCCTCTGTCTGTCCTCTGTCTGTCCTCTGTCTGTCCTCTCTGTCCTCTGTCAGTCCTCTGTCTGTCCTCTGTCTGTCCTCTGTCTGTCCTCTCTTTGTCCTCTCTCTGTCCTTTGTCTGTCCTCTCTCTGTCCTCTGTCAGTCCTCTGTCTGTCCTCTGTCTGTCCTCTGTCAGTCCTCTGTCTGTCCTCTGTCAGTCCTCTGTCTGTCCTCTGTCTGTCCTCTGTCAGTCCTCTGTCTGTCCTCTGTCTGTCCTCTGTCTGTCCTCTGTCAGTCCTCTGTCTGTCCTCTGTCTGTCCTCTGTCAGTCCTCTGTCTGTCCTCTGTCTGTCCTCTGTCAGTCTTCTGTCTGTCCTCTGTCTGTCCTCTGTCAGTCCTATGTCTGTCCTCTCTCTGTCCTCTGTCTGTCCTCTCTCTGTCCTTTGTCTGTCCTCTCTCTGTCCTCTCTCTGTCCTTTGTCTGTCCTCTCTGTCCTTTGTCTGTCCTCTCTCTGTCCTCTCTCTGTCCTCTGTCTGTCCTCTGTCAGTCCTCTGTCAATCCTCTGTCAGTCCTCTGTCTGTCCTCTGTCTGTCTTCTGTCTGTCCTCTCTCTGTCCTCTGTCTGTCCTTTGTCTGTCCTCTGTCAGTCCTCTGTCTGTCCTCTGTCTGTCCTCTGTCTGTCTTCTGTCTGTCCTCTCTCTGTCCTCTGTCAGTCCTCTGTCAGTCCTCTGTCTGTCCTCTCTCTGTCCTCTGTCTGTCCTCTGTCTGTCTTCTGTCTGTCCTCTGTCTGTCCTCTCTCTGTCCTCTGTCTGTCCTCTGTCTGTCCTCTGTCAGTCCTCTATCCGTCCTCTGTCTGTCCTCTGTCAGTCCTCTGTCTGTCCTCTGTCAGTCCTCTGTCTGTCCTCTGTCAGTCCTCTGTCAGTCCTCTGTAGGTCAGTCCTCTGTCCTCTGTCCTTCCGCTCTGGTTTGGAACACGCTCGACCCTTGAGAGTGACCTCACACATTCATGATGGCCTCAATCCCTCTCTCTCAGACAAACCCTCTTCAGGATCTTTGTGCAGTAATTAGACTGACACAGTCTCTCTTCAGTGATAACGAGCCAAACACAACCAGTGCCAATGTCCTCCTGGATATAGCAAAGCTGAGCTCTGGTAACAGTGGTCCAAGTAAGGATAAACACAGCATCAACAATTAAATATATAGTTTATATCAATATCAAACCTCCAATATCCTGGGACTAAAAAGTTGTTTAGAATATTTATTCATACAAAGTAGGTTATACAGTGTTATGCAGTGTGATGCTACACTGAAATTGCCCCACTGTTGGACAAATAAAGAATAATTTCATCTTAATCTTAAAGAAGCTATACCCGATTTTTTTTCTAAGTAGTTCATAAAAATGCTTTTTACTACATACAAGTTGTATCATAATACATAATTGAATTGAAAACTTGAGGTCATTGATTCCACTATGTATGAAATTCAGGCAGTGAAAAGTGCTGAGTAGAGTCTGAGCGGGACGTTCTCCTCCGCTCACAGAACGAGCAGCGAGCAGCCTGCGTCCTCTAGCCTCTACAGCACTCCTTAACACCAGGGCTTCCACTTCAAAATTCGAATATAATTCTAAAATAAAAAATATATCAATCAATCAATCAATCAATCTTTATTTATAGGGCGCTTTTCCTGCACAGGGCAACACAAAGCGCCTCACAGTCCACACCACACAATGCACAAATCATCACCATTAAAATACAATTAAAAACACATATGTAATTAAAAAGCATTAAAATCACATAAGTAATTTAAAAACATAAGAATCACACAAGTAATTAAAAACAATAAAAATAGTTAAAAACACAAAAAGTTACTCTGTTCTCTCTGGTCTCTCTCTGGTCTCTCGTCTCTCTGGTCTCTCTCTGGTCTCTCTCTGGTCTCTCTCTGGTCTCTCTCTGGTCTCTCTCTGGTCTCTCTCTGGTCTCTCTCTGGTCTCTCTCTGGTCTCTCTCTGGTCTCTCTCTGGTCTCTCTCTGGTCTCTCTCTCTGGTCTCTCTCTGGTCTCTCTCTGGTCTCTCTCTCTGGTCTCTCTCTGGTCTCTCTCTGGTCTCTCTCTGGTCTCTCTCTGGTCTCTCTCTGGTCTCTCTCTGGTCTCTCTCTGGTCTCTCTCTGGTCTCTCTCTGGTCTCTCTCTGGTCTCTCTCTGGTCTCTCTCTGGTCTCTCTCTGGTCTCTCTCTGGTCTCTCTCTGGTCTCTCTCTGGTCTCTCTCTCTCTGGTCTCTCTCTGGTCTCTCTCTGGTCTCTCTCTGGTCTCTCTCTCTGGTCTCTCTCTGGTCTCTCTCTGGTCTCTCTCTGGTCTCTCTCTCTGGTCTCTCTCTGGTCTCTCTCTGGTCTCTCTCTGGTCTCTCTCTGGTCTCTCTCTCTGGTCTCTCTCTGGTCTCTCTCTCTGGTCTCTCTCTGGTCTCTCTCTGGTCTCTCTCTGGTCTCTCTCTGGTCTCTCTCTGGTCTCTCTCTCTGGTCTCTCTCTGGTCTCTCTCTGGTCTCTCTCTGGTCTCTCTCTGGTCTCTCTCTGGTCTCTCTCTGGTCTCTCTCTGGTCTCTCTCTGGTCTCTCTCTGGTCTCTCTCTGGTCTCTCTCTGGTCTCTCTCTCTGGTCTCTCTCTGGTCTCTCTCTGGTCTCTCTCTGGTCTCTCTCTGGTCTCTCTCTGGTCTCTCTCTGGTCTCTCTCTCTGGTCTCTCTCTGGTCTCTCTCTCTGGTCTCTCTCTGGTCTCTCTCTGGTCTCTCTCTGGTCTCTCTCTGGTCTCTCTCTCTGGTCTCTCTCTGGTCTCTCTCTGGTCTCTCTCTGGTCTCTCTCTGGTCTCTCTCTGGTCTCTCTCTGGTCTCTCTCTGGTCTCTCTCTCTGGTCTCTCTCTCTGGTCTCTCTCTGGTCTCTCTCTGGTCTCTCTCTGGTCTCTCTCTGGTCTCTCTCTCTGGTCTCTCTCTGGTCTCTCTCTGGTCTCTCTCTCTGGTCTCTCTCTGGTCTCTCTCTGGTCTCTCTCTGGTCTCTCTCTGGTCTCTCTCTCTGGTCTCTCTCTGGTCTCTCTCTGGTCTCTCTCTGGTCTCTCTCTCTGGTCTCTCTCTCTGGTCTCTCTCTCTGGTCTCTCTCTCTGGTCTCTCTCTGGTCTCTCTCTGGTCTCTCTCTCTGGTCTCTCTCTGGTCTCTCTCTCTGGTCTCTCTCTGGTCTCTCTCTGGTCTCTCTCTGGTCTCTCTCTCTGGTCTCTCTCTGGTCTCTCTCTGGTCTCTCTCTGGTCTCTCTCTCTGGTCTCTCTCTGGTCTCTCTCTGGTCTCTCTCTCTGGTCTCTCTCTGGTCTCTCTCTGGTCTCTCTCTGGTCTCTCTCTGGTCTCTCTCTGGTCTCTCTCTCTGGTCTCTCTCTGGTCTCTCTCTCTGGTCTCTCTCTCTGGTCTCTCTCTGGTCTCTCTCTGGTCTCTCTCTGGTCTCTCTCTGGTCTCTCTCTGGTCTCTCTCTGGTCTCTCTCTGGTCTCTCTCTGGTCTCTCTCTGGTCTCTCTCTGGTCTCTCTCTGGTCTCTCTCTGGTCTCTCTCTGGTCTCTCTCTCTGGTCTCTCTCTGGTCTCTCTCTGGTCTCTCTCTGGTCTCTCTCTGGTCTCTCTCTGGTCTCTCTCTCTGGTCTCTCTCTCTGGTCTCTCTCTGGTCTCTCTCTCTGGTCTCTCTCTGGTCTCTCTCTCTGGTCTCTCTCTGGTCTCTCTCTGGTCTCTCTCTGGTCTCTCTCTGGTCTCTCTCTGGTCTCTCTCTCTGGTCTCTCTCTGGTCTCTCTCTGGTCTCTCTCTGGTCTCTCTCTGGTCTCTCTCTGGTCTCTCTCTGGTCTCTCTCTGGTCTCTCTCTGGTCTCTCTCTGGTCTCTCTCTGGTCTCTCTCTGGTCTCTCTCTGGTCTCTCTCTGGTCTCTCTCTGGTCTCTCTCTGGTCTCTCTCTCTGGTCTCTCTCTGGTCTCTCTCTGGTCTCTCTCTGGTCTCTCTCTCTGGTCTCTCTCTGGTCTCTCTCTGGTCTCTCTCTGGTCTCTCTCTGGTCTCTCTCTGGTCTCTCTCTGGTCCTCTCTACAACCCCAATTATCCAGGAATATGCAAGGGGGGTAAAATCCTCCCAGGAGATGTTTTACAGTGTGGGAAATAAACATTTTTTTTCTATAGAAAAAGGATGCCAGAGGTTGATTTTAAGGGTATACCCCATAAAATATACCCCTTATTCAAAAGTGTTAAGGGGGGGAACATCTTATTAAATTGTTTAGAATTTTCCTGGGAAACTTTGTTCTTAATTCTATTAACCAGTTACCCAAAAGTCTGAACATGGGACCCCCCCCCAGGGCGTTCCCTCCCCCCAACAATTTGGGCCCCCCAATATATACAGATGTGGCTATTAAACAAAAAATGAACCAGAGTTTTGGGGAAAGTTTGATGGGGGGGTTTATTTAGTCCAAACTCTGGGGAGTCCCTGTAAGTGATGGGGGGGAGGTGGGGGTGAGGAAAGAAGGACAATGTAAAACCAACCCAGGGGACAATGGCATTTTGCCCTATACAACTTCCGTTCCCAAATGTCGGCCTCTTATGTGAATAACATACCCCGCCTCACCTTGCAAAATGTTACATTTACTATGCACCTAAAACCCTGTTATCCCACCATTATAACAATCATTGGAATAATGGACCCTGTAATAAATCTATCTATAACTTACAGATCCCAACGTTTCTTTTATTTTTATTAGCCTTATTTTGGAATAACCCCCCCACCTTAACACTAAAAAATTAAAGGCCCCGCGCAAGCGGGGGGTGCCGTTTACCTTCCACAGCCACTTCCCCTTCTCCATTGGGGTGGCATTTTTACGGGGCCCCCCTTTGGGAAACCCCCCAAAAAACAAGTAAATTTTTGATCCAACCCTACTTTTAGGTTAATCTATATATTTTTCGAATAATCCAACCCAATATCCCAACCAAACCAATGGGGAGTTCCCCTGTGGCTAACTTTTTCACAATCACTGGCCCCCCCCAGTAACCCCCCCAAAAATTTTTATCCCCCCATTCAAATTTCCCCCCTTTGGGGGGGCTAAATTATTGTGGGAAACCCCCTGATATAGGGCCCCTTATTCATTTTGGGGGAATAGATAGCAATTTAGGAATAAAACTACAAACATGTGCATTGGATATGTCGATCGTTTAAAAGGAGACCACACCCAAGAGGAAATGGATTTTTTGAAGTCCACCTTTAAAAAAAGGGATTTTTACAGGATGTGATATAACCAGGGGGAGTGGAAACGTTTCTTTATGGTGGGGGGGACCACCCCCCAACTTTCAAAACCACAAACCTTCCCCACAAAAAAACTGCTTTTTTTTTAAAGAGGGCCCCATAAGTTGGGGATTTTTTTAAATTTATTATTCAATCCCACTAAGGGGTTTTTTTTCACATGCAAGTATACATGAAACATATAAAGATAGTGGTTTAGAAGGGGTACCCCCAAAAAGCACATCTATCAAGTATTGTTTAGGGAGACCCCCCCATGCAAAGGGATGGACAAGGGGGGACAAGGGGACCCAGGGTGGGGGCCGATTCATTCCTTTCTCTAACATAGTAACCCCCCAAGATTTTTATTAACCCAAATATATTTTATATGAAAAAAAAATTAAAAACAATTTTATTTAAAACCTTGGAGGGAATGATTTACTTAACCTAATGTGGGGGGTGAACAAAAACCCCCAAAAAAAGTCGTAGGGGTTTATCTCCCCCAGGGGACCCTTTTAACTGGGGGGGTGGGTTCTATCGTTTCCAACAACACAGCCCCCCAATTTTAACCCAACACGGAAAACCCCCCCCACCCCAATTTTACGGACCAGGGGGAGGTTGGTTGATTTTACCTTTATTATTTTACAGAGGTTTAAACCCCCCCCAGTGTGGATTTCTTCTGCCATGGGGCAGGGGGGGGTGACCTGTTGAAAATGGTTATTACTTTTTAAATTACTTGTGATTGAATATTTAACAGTCTATGTGGAAAGGGGTGGACAGCGCGAGAACGGTACAAGGCGGGGAAGGGGTGGGAGATCTAGATGGTTCCCCCCAGGGGAAGGGCCTGGATCCCCCTAGGGAGTTGTTGTGGGTATGTTGTGGGTCTGTTGTGTTGTGGGGAAATGGCGGGACGCTCCGTCGCTGCTTCGCAGCAAGGGGTCCCCAGGCAGGATTACATGGTGGTGTCCCCCCCACAGCCCCCCCGGGGGGACGCTCCCTGTCTTTTCCTCCCCCCCTGGACCCCTTCCCCCCCCCGGTGGTCAACCCCCGGCCGGGGGGCCCTGCAGTGAACAAGGCCGCCCCCCAGGGGAGAACTCGGGGCACCCCCCCCCCTTGTGGGTGTGGTTGGGGGGAATGGATGGGAGCGGGGGGCCAGGGGAGAGGGGTGGGGGGGTGGGGGATGGGGTTGTGAGGGGCCGGGGCCTGTTGTCTCCAGCAGCCCCCGCGGGCCTTGGGGGCCCCTTTAATTCCTACCAGCGGGCTTGCCAGCCTCCAGTTTAGTTCCCGGAGGACTCAGTGGCCTTCCAGGCAAGCCCCTTGGGGGCCCCCGGAATTTTTTTTACCCATTTCCGGGGACTCCAGGACCATGAGAGGGTCCGCCTGCCGGGGGGACAGCGGGGGGCAGGAAGGAGGAGGAGGTGCAGGAGGTCCAGGAGGAGGAGGTGCAGGGAGGTCCAGGAGGTCCGGAGGAGGAAGGGTTGCAGGAGGTGGCCCGTGGGGAGGGGGAGGAGGAAGGTTTGGCAGGGAGGTGCAGGAGGAGCAGGAGGTGAAGGAGGTGAAGGCCCGGTGAAGGGAGGTGCAGGAGGAGCAGGAGGGGCAGGAGGAGTGAGGTGCATGGGGAAGTGGGGGACAGGATGTGGCCAAACGGAGAATTATTTTTTTAAATCCACGGGGCAACTGTTCGAGGGGGCTATTAGTTTAGATACCGTGGGGGGTTGATGTTTGTCCCAGGGGGGGGATTATGAATGGGAAACTGGGCCGGACTGCCCCCTGGAACGGCGGGTTGGGGGGAGAAAACGAGGGCCAAGTACCCATGGCAGGGGGACAGTATATCAAAGACACCCATCCTCACCCCCATATTCGGGGGCCCCCTATCAGAGGTGGAGACCATAAAAACACCCCCCCCCCAAAAAAACTAGATTTTTTTATTGGGGGGGGATCACTGTATTCTAGGGGGGGTGCGGGCCCCTATTTTTTTTGTTGAAACTTATGTTTTTTTCTGTGGGGGGGTGTTAGCTTTTAGGGTGTCACCTTTTCCTTTGGGGAAGGTTGGTGGATTGTGGACTGAGATTATAACCAACAGTATTACAATCTTTCCACCCCCACCCAACAATTACTTTACCCCCCCCAGGGGTTTTTGATGACATTAATTACATTAATATTGGTGTATAGTGTAAATACAACGTTGGTATTTACACCTACAATAATAAAACTTGTTGGACAGGGTTTATATCAAATTCTTATTATAATACAATATTTTTTAATATTAATTTAAAAATACATATGTATAATATTCCCCAACCCCCAACCCCCACCCCCCCCCCACCCCCCCATCCCCCCCCACCCCCCCCCCTCACCCCCCCCCACCCCCCCCCCACCCCCCCACCCCCCCACACCAAAAAACAAATTTATATTTTTATTTAATTATTATAAAGTATTATTTTTAATTTATGTTATTTTATATAAATAATTTAATATTACCCTAACCACCCCAACACAAACAACACAAATCTTTAAAACAAAAAAAATTAATTTATTCATTTTTATATAATATAAAAAATATTTTTAATTGTGGGGATTTATAAGATCATATCATCAAATATAATTTATTGATGTACCCAAGGGTGGCCTTATGTGGGGATGGGGGGGGAAAATGGGACGGAATTAATGGTTGGTGGGCCCACCTGGCTTCAGGACGGAGGGCGCAATGTACCAACGCCCGGGGCTCGGATGGTGGGGGAACCATCCATTTATTCCCCTTCCCCCCAAATACAAAATTGCGCCAGGGGGGGTCCTCCTTATAGTTTTGTGTGGGGGGTTGCACCACTCCAAGTGTGGGATGGGGGTTACTGGTACCACGATGGGGGGGGAGAGAGAGGGGTATTGGGATTAACGTTTTATATTTTTATGTATAGTATTTTAAAAATAACCCGGGAGGAATTTAAAAGTACCCCCCACTACCAAAAAAAAACATTTTATTTAAAGCTGGGGTAAGTGTGATGTGTGTTTAATATATTGTTATAATCAAAAGGGGGGGGGGTTTTTCTCATTTGTATGGTCTAATTTTTTTATTGCTAATTAGCTCTGAATCTTTTTAAAATAAAACCAAAAATAATTTTTATATTCTTTTACCTCCTTTTTATTTTGGGGGGGGTAATGGGAGGGTTTTTTTCAGGGGTCCGGTGTGGTATCTCTTGTTGCCTGTGCCAGTGGGGGGGAGTATGCCTAGGGACCGGGGAAAAGGGCAAGGAGGGACACATTGGTCGTAACTACAAACCACCCACACCTTTCCACTGGGGGGAGGAAGCTATATCCAAGGGGGGGGGGGCCCCAGAAATGTACTGTTCTGTATTGCCCGGTGGCAGGGGGACAAATTTTTCCTAATATTAACTTATTTTCCTATTTGGGGGGGGTTTATAGTTGGGGGAACTGGGATTGTACACCTTATGCTTACCCCAAAAAAAAAAGGGGGTGATGGGGGGGGGGGTGGAAAAAGACCCATCGGGGGTGTGGGGGGGGTCAATACCCATATATTTATCTTCAATCTTATATTAGGGCCCTTTTTCACAAAAACCGAGTCACAAAGCGCTTAACAAAAGTTAGGTGGGCCCCAATAAGGGATATTATTGTTTACCCCACTCCAATTTTACCAGGTATAATTGTTAGGGAGGCTGGGAGGGGGGAGGCCGAGGTCACATTAACACGACAACTGCCATGACCCGACCTTTTATCGATTCAAGGAGGTTTATTTTTATAGCTGGTAGGGGAGGGGTGGGTGTTGTTGAACAATTTTGGCCTGCAACTTATTTTGGCGGTGGGGGGGGGGAAAAACCCCCTACACCAGGGGGGCCCACGGGGTGGGGTGGAGAACATTATACCAAAAACTCCCCCCCCACTTCAAACTTTCCAAAAACATTTACCCAAACCTTATTTTGTTAACTTGACACAAGAGAGGGAAAAATTGTTTTTTATTCTTAGCCAGTACCTACATTTTATTATTTATGTGTTGATTTTATTTTGATTATTCCACCCCAGTTTTAAATCTGTGGAAGTGACCAGTTTTCAAATGATTTTTTTAATCGTACATTGCTTATAATTGCCGTTTTATGTCCCCAACCTGGCTTTCTCCACCAGGACCTCTATTGTACAACATATGGGTTTAGGTTCATATCTTTTTATCCCCAATTATTAAACACAACCCCCCCCCAATTATTATATTTTTTCAAGGGGGGAAAAATAAGTGCGGGCATTTAAATTTTTTTGCCGTTAGTTCGAAATGTGATTAATTGCGATAATTAATTTTTAAGCTGTAATAAACTTCTTACAATTAAATTAATAAATTGTTTGCAGCCCTAAAAAAACATACCCAAAACCACATTTGGGATAGGACACCCACAGGGAAATGGGGGTATGACAACAAAAGGGTGTGGTCTATGGGTGTTGGTTTTCAAAAAACCCCATGGGGCATTCTTTTAACACTTATACATAGGGAGAAACACCCATATTTAATTTCACCCCTGGGGGAACCCGGGTTATGGGTGGAGGCCCCCAGTAGTGGGGGAATACCCCCCAGTTGAATCTGGACGTTATTAATTTTTTTGATTAACCGGCCTAGTAGGGTTAGGGGGGCTTGAAGGGCACGGGTTTACGGGGGACGGCATTATATAAGTATTGGGTTTTTCTTTCCCCAGGTATTTTACTGGATTTTCTTTTTATATGGCTTTTAAATTCCCCTTATTAAACACCTTATCCCCCCCCTATTTATGATAGAATTGATTGGAGGCTATTTTATTTTTGTTGGCGTTTTACTTTCCCAACTGGCCAACATTCTACCCCACCATTTGAAATATATACCCAAAAGGGAAGTAGGGAGCCAATAATATAATTAACGGGGGGGTACATGCCCACCACATTTTTTAATGGGTGTTACTCAAATTGTAGGGGAAAAAAACCCAACCAGAAGTAACAATTATAAGGGGATGCTCGTGTGGAAACCAGTTGGCCAGGGGGGGGTGAGGGGGGCTGGTTAATGGGGATTGGCGTTTGTATATATGGCTTGGTGGCGGGGCCAGAGGGGGGGGGGATGATTGGGGAGGATAACACCAATGGGGATTAATCACCCAACCCTTTGTAGGGTGCCCACTGTAGGTGCTACACGCGGTTTCCAAAGTATTCCAAAATATAAGTTTGGTTATAACAAACTTACGGGGGATGGGTATTAATAAAGTATATTTTTAATGGTTTCATTTGGAATGTGGGCCCCAAACCCCGGGCATATTAAAAAAAAAAGAACAATCTACCCCCCATAGTCCGGGGTTGGAACCCGGTAATAGGGGAGGGACATATTGTTTTAGTTTGTAATTTATTGGCGGGTTAGAAGCTTATCAGTTACTTCTTACAAGTTCCTACCCCCCACTGGCCAATTAGTTTGGGCCCTTAAACATAGGGGGTTGTGGAAATGGGGGGGTGAAAAAAGTAAAACTACATACGGGGGGAATTGAGGATTTATAGTTTTTTATGAATTTACTGTTTCATGTATTCTTACTTGGGTTTTTGTATTTTAATATTATGTTTTAAGAAAAAATAAAATTGATCGGATCCGGTTTATAGATAAAATAATAAAGTTATTTTTGCCATAATATATAACGTACCCCCCCCCACAAAATGTAACCCCCAATCAGTGGAGGCGGCGGGCTTGCGTGGGGTATTTTACCTATTTTTTCCTTTTGGGGGGGAGCACAGGTGGGGGGCAAAGCCCAAAATTTGTGCACAGGACCCCCCCCCGTGGGGGTTTAACCTTGGTACTTTGTTTCCGTTGTCATTCCCCATAACTTACCAGGATATACAGGAGTTGGTCAATAGGAACCCATTATGCTTAATTCTCATGATTTCCCTAGGGGGCAAACAAATTGGCCAGGGGGGTTAGGGGGGGAAATAATTCTGCCCCCACCCTTATTTAAATAACTAGCTATGGTGAATGGGCCTTTTTTTGTTTTATGGGAGTAATATTTCCCCCACTTTTGAAAAATTGTTGATCCCTGGAATGGGGGGATCTGTGTTAAGCTCTGTCAACCCCAACCTTGTTTTTTTGTATCCCACCCCCAGTGTGGACCAACGAATCTTTTGTTTCTTACCCCCCTAGTTTTTTTGGCCACTCAAATTTTCATGGGGGGCACAAACCAAGGGGATTATCCACGTGGCTTGTCTCCTTTCCATGATTAGGGGTGTGTTTTGAAGGACAAAAATCTGGTCAAGAAAGTAGATTACCAACTTAATGGGGTGGGGGACTTTAACCAATCTTTTAAGTGGGGTAGTAAACAGGCCATGCAAAGACCACCCCACGTTCCTATATGCCCAACCCCACCCTAACCCCAAAGCATTCCCAGGGCAAACAAGAAATTTAATTTCTATATTATTTCAATACAAAGTGCACCCATGCCTTTATAGTTAAAGCCTTATTTCAAATGCCATGGGGAAAAAATCACAATTAACACATCTTTGGAAATAAGGAGGATCAGAGAAATTTTGTATACCCGCATTATGGTCCCAAGAGTTAAAAGAGTTATGGTCCACAGGTGGATGTAAGGCCCCCTGCCGAGATAATTGTGGATGGTGG